TTAGTAAATCTATTATATGAGTCTATTTATAATAATTATTATATTGATTTTTCCCGAATTAATCCCAATTCTTTGAATTTTTTGTAAAAAATGTCTACAATAGCAGTTTTAAATTGCTTCTGTAAAGAAAACTCTAAAAGACCTCGGACTAACTCAACTTTTGTAAAAAAAAATTAATATAAATACTGAATGTAGCTGCAGCATGAAACTTTTCCAATCTGGACACAGACCACACAGAGGTGCACAGCATATACAAACACAAAATGTACCTGTGGCCACGCTCCAACTGGCACATATCTAACTAAACTTTCAAATCAGACAGACGTTGACCTCTCCACCTTCTGGGCCCAAATTGAGAAACAAACTAATCGATGTGAAATGCTCGAAACTACAGCCTGCACAAATCCCAATATTCGGGGGTCGCCTTTAGCCATCTTGTGCACACGAATTATACAAAATTGTCCAGTTGTCGCTAGTTGTTCATATACATTATCACCCACTACAAAAATCAAATCTCACACAATTTGCGTTTTTCCCGTTTCTTACTTAAATACCTTTAGAGAATTTCATATATTGTGCGTTTGGCAACAAAATGTGTACCTAGGTTAGGCATCTAATTCTCGACTCTATCTCTAGGCTCTCTAGGCACTAATTATCGTCATCTAAATGATGAACAAGATGCGGATACAACCTTTTTGTAATTCGGAGCATTGGGCTACACGTTTTGACAGGACACCCAGTCAATGGTTTTCGGTCAAAGTCGCCAGATTGTAGCTTATAATAAGGACATGAGGTTAGAAAAGACAGATAATACTAGTGCTCAAAGGTCTCACGTCAACAGAAGGTTCAACAGAAGGCTCAGGAAGGGCGAATTCGTAGAACGAGTAAGCAATGTTTGTGGTCATTTTCGCTGTTATTACTAAGGTCTGTCATATTTAAGTTGCCGCCTTCAGCGTTCAGTAGCCATCGTGTAATACCGAGCAGCATGCTGTGTTATTCACAAGACCGATTTTGTTGGTCCGTACGTACCGGTCTTCCGGTCGTCCGGGTGTCTGTCATTACAACAGCATCTCCTGCTTGACAGCAGCGGCGTGGCAAAGTCGTAAAGTACATTTTTTAATTAGAGCCACGAGTAAAACAAAGCAATTAGTAGGGCTGTCCGAGCAATCCCTTTACTTTCCCCTCTGTCCCTCGCAATTTCTCTGTTCTGTCCCGTGTTTTTAATTTTCAGTCCAAATTTTCGCGCGGGCGTGTGAATTATTAAAAAATAAATTACGTAAAAAAATAAATTAAAAGACCGGAAGCCGGCGGGTCAAATCGTTCTCAAACCTTTCCACTGTATGACCTGGAAGTAACACTTGGTTACCATTAGTGGTTACTCGAGTTGAGTAGTTGGTTGTCAAGTATGGCTTTATAATAAAGACTCTAAAAAAACAAAGCTGTCTGACACTGTGGGGCCGCTTATAGAAAATTCGATCTTGTACTTCATGCATCTCCCCCGCAAATTAACAAAATCCAAAAATCTAGAGTCACATAATAAAATGGAACAGAGTATGCCACAGTCTGCAGCTCTCAACTGCATAGTGCTTACCTTTTGATTTAGTTTTTAATTTATATTTTGTTTGAATCGAAATTTACTAAAGTTTCAGAAGACAAATAAACGAAAAAACTCTCATAACTCTTGGTCTGAAACGAAGAGTGCGCCAGGCTCTGGTTTGAAAGTTTTGAACTTGCCCACAGTCGCGTGGCTTACAAAAAACTAAGTTATTAGCACCAACTGTTTTCTGTTGGAGGCGCGGCTGCAGCTTGGTTGTTGCGGGTGTGGTCTGCTACTTGCTGGTGTGGCAGGCAGTCAGCTTTTAGTTTATGTTTACTGCATTTTGTGTGTGAACGTGCGGCAAAAATTTTTGCGTTGCTTTGACCAAGCACTATGTGAAGCACATTGACATTTTCGCGTAGTTGGTGGCCTAGACCCAGTGAATTTAAGCAATGGGTGCTCTGTATGAAAGAGTGTCGCCGAAACCATGCTCCGGTTGTTGCTTGCTTTAGTTTCTGGTTGCAGCTGCAGCATCTGCCGTTTACAAAATTTATTACACTTGCACTTTGCAGAAAAATATTTGTGGTTCTGAGCATTTACATTTTATTTTTCGAATTTAATTCTTGGTTATTTTATGAAGTTTGTAAGATTTATCATACGATCTGGCATTTTGTTAGTCAGAATAACGAATGCCAATAGCATACACAGGTATCTTACTTTTTATACCCTTGCAGAGGGTATTATAATTTTGTCGTGAATTTGTAACGCATAGAAAGAGACATCTCCGACCCCATAAAGTATATATATTCTTGATCAGTATCAACAGCCGAGTCGATATAGCCATGTCCGTCTGTCCGTCTATCTGTTTCTATGCGAATTAGTCCCTCAGTTTTAAAGCTATCTTTATGAAACTTTGCAGAAGTCCCTCTTTCTGTTTCATATGTCAAAACTAGCTGGATCGGACCACTATATCATATAGCTGCCATAGGAACGATCGGTCGAATACTAGGTTTTTGATTAAAAACCTTTTTTGTTTATCAAGATATCTTGACCAAACTCGGCATTACCTATTTTCCCTGTGCTTCTTAGATACGGGCAAAGCACTATATGCATTATGAAAAGGTTGGGTCTGCAAGGGTATTAGATATTCGGCGTGCTGTAGATAGCCTTTCTTTCTCGTTACTATTAAAGTTTAAGTACAATATACGATGTACGCTTATGTTTCTTTTAGGAAAAGAATGTGCTAATGTTATTGACGTAGTTAAAGTTTCGCTTTAATAAAAATAAACACAAGATGTCAGCAAATAAAACGAATCCAAATGCTGCTACTAATCATTTTTTGTCATTCTAACAACTATATTTTAGACGGAATATAACGCTCACAATATCTTTAAGAGTTATAAGTCTTATGATTCAGTTATTGCGAAACTATTGCTGAGAGCTTGGAGCCACACTTAATCCTCTAAGCTTAATTCATAGTATTTTTACTCAGTCTGATGGTAGAGTCCTTCTGAAGGCAATTGAAATCTCCTTGCGAGGTTAGTTACACTATAGAAGCACTTGAAACGAGTTGCCAAATGGAATGAAACGACGCACAAAAATTAAACTGTATTGATTTATGAAGGCGGTGTGTGTCGTGTGGCGCTCTAAAAAACTTTGTCCTGCAGTATAGAAAAACTGAAGGCAAGTGCGACCAGGCAGCCGGGCAGTGGTGGGTGACTTTTTAAAAGTTCAATGAAGTATGGACTACTCGACTCTAGCCAAGTGCGCAACCAATAAGTGGCGCAAGTTGCTTCGTCGCTTGGCAGGTTGAAACTTTGTCAAAGTCAAACAAAAAGTCGCTGAGCATTCACAACAGTCAGGGTATCTGCGAGGGTGTCAACTCGTCTGGCACTAGCAGTGCATTAGTCGATGGTACATTATTAATGTTCAGTCGTTTGATTTGTATACTTGTTTGGTTTTATGTGTGTTCAGCCCAACCTCAATACTAATTGGGTTGGATTATTCAACCAACACAAAAGTAGCTTTGACTTGGTCGCACCTGGCCGTTTCATGCCTGTGCCAATTATTGTATAGAGATAAGTTTTAACGTGTGCGTGTCAGTTTCTTTAGCTGTATTCGACCCTACCGACTGACCCCGTGACCTGTTGCATGACGCTACAAACCGCGGCGGGAAGTTAATTACTTTGATTTATTTGTAAGATTTCAAATTGCACTTAATTACGATTTCATGTACGTACAAATTAACAAAGTTGCATAGGAGTGAGTTTAGCTGGCTTGTAAATCGACCGATGAGTACACACCTTTAAAGAAAGTTTAAAATTATCAATAACAAATGGAAAAAGTGAATCGCACACTCATAAGAGAAAATAGTAAAACCTTACCGTTGAGTTGTAAAGATAAAAACATATTCAGTAGTAACGTCCGATATTATCTTTATTAAACTAAGTTACAGCCGCGAAAATTGTGAAAACGAGGGTTCAGCGATGAAATCGCCCGAAAAAAGGTTTACTAATGAAGCAACGAAACTAAAACTATTAAATATAAAATTTATAATGTCAAATAAATCGATTATAACATCATTTAATTTGAATTGCAACAAACACATTTTGTAACAAGTAAGAGGTTCTAGTCGGGAGCTCCCGACTAGGGGATACCCTGAACCCTCTTCTTCCAACATCAACTGCATATATATATTCTATTTTAGAAGCTATATGTCAAATTTGGTGACTCTTGTTCTTATTATTTACGAAATTGCCCGAAAAACAGGATATCGATATCGATTTTTATCGATTGCTTGGAAACGGAGTAAGCTATCGATTATCGGAAACAAACTCGATCTGCGCGGGAACTAGGAGCATCTACATCTATAATTTCAAGTCTCTAGCTCTTATAGGTTCTGAGATTCTTGCGTTCATACATACGGCGGACGGACGGACGGACAGACAGACGGACATGGCTAGATCGACTCGGCTATTGGTGCTGATCAAGAATATATATACTTTATGGGGTCGGAGATGCTTCCTTTTGCCTGTTACATACATTTGGATTTTGCACAAATACAATATACCCTTATACCCATTTTTATTGGGTTCAGGGTATAAAAACGATTTTATGATCCTGTACCCTATAGATGCTGTTAAATATGCTAGACACTTTGTCGCTGGTTTTTGCACAACATCAGAACATATCTTTTGAGCTTCCGTTCTCAATATTTACGCTTCGTTTCTGCTTGAACTTTATTATTAGAAAAGTTTTAATGTATTTAATAAAGGCACGAACAAACCTAAAGCAGAACAATCAAACACAGCAGAAAAACAACTTATTCATGAACTGTACAAGTATGCATCCATGTTTACTATGGTGAAATGTGGTCCGAATTGTTGTGTATATCGACTCAATATCTAAGTATAATATACCTAGAGAATCGAGAGCTGATGAGTAATACAAGAACAATGTCAGCTTAGTGTTTGGCAAGGTCAGTCGAAATGTTTATTCATATTTCACAATTTACATACACAAAGAACTTAAATCATAAGCTTCTACTTCTTGTTGTGTAACTCAACTTAGTTTCGCTTTTATATTTGCCCCAGTTACTCCGTCCGTTGACGTTTTTTGTAGCCGTTGCTTGCGAGCTTTGCGTACGTAGGTTTTGTAATAAAAGTCGAAGAATAGTGCAAACATGAAGACGTTCTGAATAAAGCCGATAAACGCGATGAAGACAGGAAATTGACAAGGATTGCGAACGATCACAAGTAAAAAGTGCAGTGATAAGTAGCCGAACTGAACCAGCTGCAGCTGCGTGATATACCGCTTCCACCATAGCATCTGTTTCAATGCCCCCAGTGAGGTGGCAAAGTAGTAGGCGTACATTACAGAGTGCACCAGGAGGTTGATCAAGCCAAGCATAGTGCAATGAGAGCCCGCTAAGAAGGTCATAAAGATCGAAACACCGAAGACCATGCCAGCGTGGTGATATACATGTAGAAAGCTCACCTGGGAGTTCTTCTTGCGCAATACTATGAAGACCTGAAATAAATTGTGAGTTAGATAATTCAGAGACGTTCTGCTTTAAATGGCCTTGTGTCACTTACAGTATCTAGGAGATCTAGATATTTGAGAATATAGTAGCCGTAAGAGGCATACAGCAAGTGCATCATTTGCGGCGTTCTATTGAGATGTTCGACAGGCTGGCAGATAAAGCTGAACTCAGGTTGGAATAAGGTGTAGGTAATCCCGTAGACAAATATGATTGAATTTGCCACAACCTGAATAACGTTGTATAGCTGCATCACAAGTTTCAGTTCAAAGGGTCGCCGCTTTTCCATCCATTTGGGCCCAAAATATAGTACAAATGCCAAATAAACGACGATAACGAAAGCCACACTCCACAAATTGCCAGTGAGCGGTAAATGTGCTACGCGTGGATCTTTGTGCAGTTCGTACAGATCTCGCAGCATATAAAATAGATAAGCTACAACATTAGGCGCCATTTCAACTCCCACACTGTCACAGGATTCTGGCTTTCCTTTCGTTCGTTCCTGTTCGAATTTTCAAAATAGGCGTCAGCGTTTGCACACTTCGAAAGTCCGTATTCATCTGAGCAATAAACACTAACATGGCCACGTGTTGAAGTGTGCGACCACCATATACCTCTGTCCAACGCTTGATATGGTAATGACCGCTAAATGAGAAGCATTACGCTCGCCCAATTGACCTATGCAAAGCGTCGGCAGCATTACCTGCCGTGGAATGTATGCGAGTGGCATTGGCCACGGCGACCAACAATGACAACTATGACGACAAACTATGACGTTTCACGTTCTGGAAGATATTTATATACATTGTTTTGCTGAAACAAGCAATGGTTGAGATTTTATTTGACTTTCTGGTAATGCGTTACCTGAACGCGTGATAATGATTTTAACTGCTTTTGCACAAATTGAAAGGCTATTTACCGAATCTTGTGTTAGACGGCCATTCTGGACACTCTCAAAGGGTCAGCCACGACCTTGTCTGCGCAAGCGTCTTGCATGACCTTGTTGCTGTGCAGAATTTGAGTCAGTACCTTCTTGTTGGCTAAAAACCATCATTTGCATTTTCTTCGCAGCTGCGGAATATGACAATAAACGGGCTGCAGCTCATTTACACAAATAAGCTATAACCGCATGACTGTTGGCGGCCATTTCCATCTAGCATGCTCGATTGCGCTTGGACTCGGGTACAGCTCGTCGGCAATGTAAAGGGCCGCTGGTAGTGTAATAACCATAATGCCGACGTTTATGGCCACAGCAAACAACAAAAATAATAATGGTAATCATTTTGCCGTTCGCCGGAAGTATGCAAATATACGAGACGACTACGATGATGGCCATGGCGATGTCGATTCAGTTACACAAGGCATATGGCGTGAGAAGGCCGTGAACTGCTTCAAGGATATGGTCAGGTGTTGGGTGGGATTCGCCAAGCACCAAGTCTACAACCTTGAGCTCTGTTCTACAAATGATGCGTTAATGACACATACATATATATAGAAGTAAACAACGGGCCGAAAGCAAATATACTGGCAATGCGAACGTGTCTTACCGAGCCATTTTCTGTGTGTGTCTGCCGGTAATCATGGTTCACTGAATGAAAATAATAATCTCTTTCGGCAGGAAATGAAGGGAAATTCAACAGGAAGCTTTCGTGACGTGCTGCAAACATTCCATGTAAATAAACCAATTCTTTTAGTACTAGTGCCTATTTGTGTGGCAGCCTCTTTGGAGGCATTGAAAAGATAAAGTTAATTATCTGGTTTCTATAATTTAATTTTTTAAGCTTTTGTGTGTTCAACTCTGATTGTTGACCTAAAATGTTGCCTGCCTACACGGTATTTCCGGATTTGAGTTACTCGAGTAGAGCTTTCTTATAAATGTATTGCCTTCATCATGTTATTTTGATGTTGGTGTTTTTTTGCGCTCGCCATATTCCCTGTCGCACTTAGCAATGCAACTGCCAAGTGTAATAAGTTAACTGAAATTAGTTAATTGCTTTTAAATTACTAAGATTTTGACTGTGTTTTTCGCAATCGCATCTGATTTTCTAATCAGCTCTCTATATACAATGTATTTGAATATTTGCTTTGATTGGTAAAATAGATAGTAGATCTTTCTTGAAAATATATTTCTTTTCAGCATACCTTATTTTTCTTGTCGATTAAGTTATCACCCATCAACAGGCGGTGTTAATATTAGTTTGCGTAAATGAGAGTCCAGTCTCAGCTCTGTATATCAATCATTCTAGCGCTGTCAAAGTAAATCCCCTGGTAATAAGATATTTATTTCTATTTCCTCGCGGATATTTTATTATAATTTTTCTTTCCTTTTTGATTGCGCCAGAGAGAGATATCGTAAAAGTATACATAGTTACACGGAATTTCAAATCAATGGCCTTATTCCGTTAAAGCCAAGCGAATGATACACGTAAATTCGCCTTATGTTGGTTGCTCTATAAAGCTATGTCCCCTTTTAGGGTGACAGCCATAAGAGCAAACCAAAGAAACAAAAAGGCAGTAATAGAAACGATTTCGTAAAAATATGACAAACAATCAAAACGTATTCGAAAAAACCACAACACAGCCAACAAAACTTGCCAGCTGAGCCCGAGATTTGCTACCCAGCAGCAGACCCAGCAAGGCAGCCTAGTCAGCCAGAGTGCTGGGCGGTGTTGTAGTTAATGGAGATGAGGCGCGGCCGGCGTGAAGTAGGAAAAATAGCTTTGCCGTTCGTTGCACAGAGGAGGACTGATGAAAATTTATTGCTGCCAACATACCCATAGGGATTCGCAAATATAATACTACAACCACAGCGGGGCGGATCCAACAGTTGGACAGATGAGCGCGCGAACAGATGGCAAGAAGGCGTCGGCGGCGGCGTCGGTGTTGGCAGAGGTAGCAGCGATGTCGGTAGCGAGGCGACTGCATACAAACACGTACAACATGTCATGCAGTTTGCCCGGTCCCTTGTTGTTGCCTGGATCTGAATCTGGATCTGGTCTATGCGCTCGTTGCTATGCTAACATGTTTGTATTGAGTGTGTGTGGAATGTGTGTTGGGATTGTAATGTCTGTACGCTAGATGGGCGTGCGTACGGCAAAACTAAACCTATGAAAAATTCTACAAAGCAAAACATATAAAATGCGGTTTTCGCAGCACTCCGCTGTGAAGAAATCTGTAAAAAAATCTGTTAAAAATATATATATGTGTGTGTGTATGACAGCTAGAACATGCTGCTTTACCCTCTGCCTCGACTTCTATTCAATCTCATATAGTGTTGTACATCGTGCTCAGCTTAGCCGAGCTGCATGCACGCACTCTTCATGTTTTGTTATGAAAATTTAAGTGAAATCACTAAAAATGCCAAACAAAACTGCCAGATATGCAGATATACGGCGCAGGGAGCGGGGATAAACGTATGCGTATTTGTTGTTGGTGCAAAAGAAAACCTTCGGGTGGAACGCGTTTCCTCGCTATGTTTCGTGTGTTCTTGATGCTGTTTTATTTACGCTATTAGAGTACATTTATGAAAAACTGTAGTCAGTTTATAAAATGTGACTCGATGTGAGTTAATGTGCTTCCTTTAAGAACAACCGAATGGGTTGTGTAGTGCAACAGTTTTTTCTGCTGCTGTTTTTGTCACAGGACGATATCACTTGTAAAATGGGTCAAACAAAGTTCATGTTCCACGATTCTCTTATAGTGCCGGACTGTTGTGCTATAAAGAGTTTTCAGCTAATGGTTTTGGCTACTCAATGAACATTTGTCAAGGACGCAGTACGCCCACCCAAGGCGATGCCACCAATTTGCTACGGGCATCCGTCCGTCCTTTGCTTGGCTGGTTGTGAATCGTAAGTCCTTCTATATGTCGATGTCAATAGCTACGTTTTATTACCTTGTCCTTTGCATCCAAAACAAAAGCACCGAAAACAGCAACGCAGCGGGAATGGGTATGACACTCACAAAGCTAGTTTGAAAATTTATGATCAGTGACAAAAGCACATTCCCACCTGTGATATACCTTAACTGCTGCTCACTTTGTGCGTCTGTAATGCTGTTATTGTTGTGTGCTTTGTTGCTTTCGTTTTTTTCTCAGTGTACACGCCTTTTCAGTGCCATTGTTACACACACGCCCCGCCTCCAGGTCGACAGAAACGTTGGCAATTCCACGGTGCGCCACGCATCGATGGCCCTTTTATGCGCTTCGCAGTTTTCACATTTTTTGTGCGCGTTTGCCTTGGATTTTTGCGATAATGGAGACAAATGTTGGGCTCTTAAATTTATCGATTGGTTGGTTTGTAAAAGTTGCCAAGGAAAAATATTGGCCTGGCATGTGAATTTGTTTTTATAGGTAGGTTAGCTGTGCATGTGATTCCATTCCAAGCGCTGCACAGATTTAATGCTTTAAGTCGAGCAAAGTCCAACGACACACCTGATCTTTCAATTTATTTCTTGTTTTTCATTGCCTAATAGAAGAAAAGCAAAGTCGACGCCCGATAGCAAACAATGAATTGCGCTCTGCCCAAGATAAACTTGCGCCAAGATAAGCCAACTATTTGTGCAATGTACCCTGTTACCTCGTTGCTCTTGGCCACAGATCCGAAATTTACAATTCGCCCGCCGGCCTGCCTGTAGAAACTTTCAAATTGAAAGTTCATCGCATTTAGGCAGCTGTTCGTTCCGGCTTGGGACTGGGAAGACGCATCTGGCAGGCAAATTTTTTGGACATTTGTTGGTCTCCCTCTCTTCGTATATACGTATCTGCATCCATATTTGCGATGCTTGAATTTGTGCACTCTTTGTAAAGATATTATAGGGCGCCAGCCAGCAGCAACAACAGCATGTGCTTCGGATTAACTATCAGATAAACGCAGCATCTGTAGTCTGTTTGCTTCAGAGAACTTTTAATTTTTCGTGCTCACGCAATTGCAGCGTTGTGGTCCGCGATTAGGGCTTAACGTTAAACACTGCAACGTGCTGAAGGTCCTCGACGACCGGATTTATACAGCGTTACATTGGCATTTAAATAGGGTCGGGATTGTTGTACCAAGCGCGTTTTGCAAAGTATTTGCTTTTATGTAAAATTATAAATGCTACTTAGGTTGCTGCGGCAAATAAAACAAGTAGTAATGCCTCTTGTCGAAAAAGCTTAAATAGGAAATACCCAGTATCAGAATACTTAAATTTCCCCTTTCAAACAAAAAACAAGTAAGAGGTTCTAGTCGGGAGCTCCCGACTAGGGGATACCCTGAACCCTCTTCTTCCAACATCAAATGCATATATATATTCTATTATAGAAGTTATATGTCAAGTTTGGTGACTCTAGCTCGATATCGATATTGATTTTTATCGATTGCTTGGAAACGGAGTAAGTTATCGATTATCGGAAACAAACTCGATCTACGCGGGAACTAGGAGCATCTACATCTATAATTTCAAGTCTCTAGCTCTTATAGGTTCTGAGATCTTTGCGTTCATACATACGGACGGACGGACGGACGGACAGACAGACGGACATGGCTAGATCGACTCGGCTATTGGTGCTGATCAAGAA